GGAGTCAAGTCACACTTGAGACGCTTGCCGACTTGTCTTGAGACTCGCCTTGGACTCTGACTGAATAAGAACCATCAATCTTAATGAAATAAACAAATAAAACCTTTTGTTTCCAGTCTTGCCTTTGAGTTTCAGTGCAGTTTTCAGGGCATTGAGACTTGACTTGTGAACATCTCTGGCAACAGAACTTAAGTAATATTTACCAATGATTAAATGGTTAACATGTCCAAATTCCTTTGCCTCAAGCCATATTGCTACTGCAATCTGTAGCAGTATAGTTGCAATATGGTGTTTTGACTATACTGTACACCCCTACATGCTGTGTGTAGGCGAACACCTCCCAAGTTGCTCAGTGAGAGTGCGTATGTGTGTGTTTGTGTATGTGTGTGTGTGTGTGTGTGTGTGTGTGTGTGTGTGTGTGAGCGTAAGCACAGCCTCGCCCCTCATGCAAAGACAGGCACTGAGGGAGAGCTGCCAAATTGCGATTTCCAAGTTTTCCAGCATCAACATCAGAATCTTCTACACTGCAACAGTACTTGTTCAGAAGTATCAGGGAGCATCCCTATTAACCAGATCTGTGGTCAACGTCTCCTGCCTGTGCAATGTGTGGATCAAAGAGGCTGGACTGTGAATGACCGCAGGCCTGGTGTGAGTGGACTAGAGAGTTGACATGTGCTCTAATCCCAGGAGGAAACTCTCTCCTATGGGTGATGGAACCATGAGACCCCTCTGAGTCACACGCACTGCGGGCCAGCGAGCAGTGAGTCAGGCTGAGGCACAGAGACATATGGAGGGGTTCAGAAAGAGAATGGGGCCATCTGCAAGACTGCAGCACAGGACAGCAAGATGGACTCGCATACTGAGGAGGAGAGAAAGCATGACTGTGAAAGAAACAGAAGGATGTCCTTCCTGACAGTGAGAGAGAGAGAGAGAAAGGCACAAACTTGCCTCTCAAGTTTGAGGACACCTACCTTTTCTAAATGTTTTTAATTGTTTTTTTGCTATATGTTAACATATTGAAGGGGAAGTCCACCCATTTTTTCTGCTAGATTTCTGCACTATGCAATGGTTGAGTTGTAAACAAAATCATTCAGAGTGGTTAGACATGAAATGCTCTGTTCAGAAGAAACTTATAGAGCCAGACACAGTTTACAGTAGTGGTGACAGGTACCAGACATCTGAAGCGTTTAATGCCTCTAAAAGCTACATCACAGAAAGCTGATACATGAAATGGTTACAAAAAGACTGCTTACTGTCTCAGACATTGTTTTATGATGACTCTTTGGCCTAAAACATATTTTCATGTACATGCAGGGCAGAGGAACATGCAGGGTACTGCGAGGCAAAAAAGGACACAAAGAAAATATATTTTTTCAGATTTACCACGATTTTATCTTTATCAACAGTATATTTAAAAACTCAAATGATGTGTAGGTTCACTGGTAGTTTTGGATAGTAAATAAAATGGCTATACTTGTGTTGTAGATATTGTAACTTCTGGTTCCTATCACTGCTACTGTAAAGAAATCCAAAAAATCAAGTTTTTCTACAATTAACCATTTCATATCAAACAACTCTGAATGACTTTGTTTACATCTTAACCAGTGAATTGTGCAGGAAATTTGAAACATCAGTGGAATTCTACTTTACGCTGTTGAGATCTTGCATTTTTGCCTGCAGGAAGAACTGACACACATACTACCTTGGGAATAATGCAATATCTCACACATTTATCCCGCTGTTGTGATCTCAGCACTCATCATCACTCCAACCTTTCAGCTGTCTAAACCACCTTTGGAGCAAAAGACTTTCAATCTGTGCTTTTAACACCAGCGTGAAAAAGAAAACTGTCAAATCATTATTTAGGCCAACTCTGCTCTTCATACCAGTACCAACACTTTGATAAACATGAAGCTGAATGCGGATTATACTCACTGACCACTTTATTGGGTACACCGACCTTATTTGTACTCTCTTTGTCCATTTTACCAGCCCCACTTACCATATAGGAGCACTTTGTAGTTCTACAATTACAGACTGTAGTCCATCTGTTTCTCTGCATACTTTGTTAGCCTACTCTTCAATGATCATGATGCTCACAGGACCACCACAAAGCAGGTATTATTTGGGGGGAGGATCAGTCACAGCACTGCAGTGACACTGACTTGGTGGTGGCGTGTTAGTGTGTGTTGCGCTGGTACGAGCGGATCAGACATAGCAGGGCTGCTGAGGATTTTAAACAATGTGTCCACTCACTGTCCACTCTATTAGACACACTTGCCTTGTTGGTCCACCTTGTAGATGTAAAGTCAGAGACAGTAGCTCATCTGTAGTTGCACAGTTTGTGTTGGTCGTCCTGTAGTCCTTCATGAGTGGTCACAGGACGCTGTTGGCTGGATATTTTTGGTTGTTGGACTATTTTGAGTCCAGCAGTGATACTGAGGTGTTTAAAAACCTCAGCAGTACTGCTGTGTCTGATCCTCTCGTACCAGCGCAACACACACTAACACGCCACTACCATGTCAGTGTCACCGCAGTGCTGAGAATGATCCATCACCTAAATAATATCCGCTCTGTGGTGGTCCTGTGGGGGGTCCTGACCACTGAAGAATATTAAACAAAAGCCTCAGGAACCAATAATAATGATAGATTTACAGTGTCTACTCGTTGCCTTTATTACAGCTTCCATTGTTTTTGAGGAACCTGCTTTCAGTCTTTAAAAGAAATCTGCAGGAATTTTTTTTCCACTCTTCCAAAGTTCAGCCTTAGAAATTGGTTGCATTTACTTCTTACAATCCAAGTATTTCCAAACACATTCAATGATTTTGAGGTCTGGACTCTGGGGTGTTCAGTCCTTGCTCTGAGAACACCAGCAGTTTTTTTATTTTTTTGTCCATTTCCTATAACTTGACCTTAAGTGCTGTTTTGACTGTAAGTTGAATAATAGTAGGATGGCTTTGCACAGTACTGTATTTGGTATGTGGCCCTGATAAAATGTCCAATGAGTGCATATATAAAGTCTCTGTATACTGAAAGTATTAGCAAATACAGCAGCTACTTTAGGTTAATAGTAACAGTAAAAATCAAACATTACCTTTGAAATGGAACGTTTTAAAAAAAGGCAGAGTGCCCCCCAATATTTATAGAGGCTGTGTAATAGAGGTGAAGAGAACAAGAAAGCGAGACAGAGGGACAGAAAAAGGAAAAAAAAAGGATGTGTCACATATCTAAACCAACAATCCATCCAAAGAACCATTTCCCCACAAGCCAGTGACAGTTTGTGATGTGGTCAAACAAACAGGCTGTTTAAATATCTGCTAATATTCATTAGTCACGGCTAGCTGCACACCTAGCAGCCACTGGAGATGGAGTCAGTGTTCTCAGCAGTGATTTGGGTCCATTACCACAACAGCAGCAGCACAAACCTCTCAGTCTTCCACACGCTCCTCTCATTAATACAGCTTAGAAATGAATGCCTGCATGAGTACTAACAAGCATGTGTAGATGGAATAGGCCGAGTGTGTTTGTTCGTGTTTGTACACGAGTGATTGAATAATGTTCTTATCTATAATATACAAATAGCGATATGCTGGCAGATTGTTATACACTATAGAAAGTGTTGGGGCCAATATGACTTCTGATTTTTTGTTGCACCATAAGGAGAAAACACTTTTCTCACAAATAGAACCTAGAATGTCTATAGTGTGGGAGTTTTTCACCCACAAAAGTAACAGTGTAATGCAATGGCGTAAGCAAAGCAGAGATACCATTTCACAGCATCACCTCAGTGATGCTATTTGCTTCCTTAGGTTTCACTGGAGCTATCTGGCTAATGTAGCTAACAAGTAATGGACACTTACACTTGCCAGGTTACCAACATACAGTGTTTTGTCTGTAAAATAACCTGAATATAAATCTGAATAAAATGAAAAATAACAAGAATTGCTTGTTTTCAAAACATTATTACTGTTTGGTTAGAAGAACACATTTAAAAGAACCCAGATTCGGTTCATGTTTTATTGGTGAGCTCCAACCATTTCATGGATTTGTCAATTCCATCAGCAGTACGGCTGATTTAATGTAATAAAGGATCCCATATGCAAAATAAATATATTTCTTCATATTTTTCCAAAATATTTGTGGAGGAGAGGTGATTCAGCAACCAGAAGGTTGCAGGTTCAAATCCCAGGACTGACCGAGTATTCCTGGTTGTGCCATTGGCCAAGACACTTAGACTCCCCTCCTCCTCTTACCCTGCTTAGGTAATTCTTTACATACTATGCCCAATTAAAATTAGACAACAAATAGCTAAAACAGTAATGGCAGCCACATTGAAGACTTAATTTTGTCCATACTTTTAATATTTTCCTAAAAAATACTGTCATACAACGTCAAAAGCAAATTGAGCTGAGATTACTGAACAACTTTACGTGGTTTGAGGCCAGTGTGTGATGATTAGCAATATGCTAACTTGGCGGTTAAAAGCTTTCACTACTTGATAGCTGCATTAGCCTCTTAGGTACTTAACTACTTTTGCAGTAAAGGGAAAATTGTCATTTCAGGGTGCCATCATTTTAGCCAGCAAGCAGCCCGACTAGTTAGAACAGTCATTCAATAAAAAAGTAGTCCACAAGTTAACTGATTATAGAACAACTAGTATCTGCATCCTTGTCAATATCACAGCACAAACAGTAAGTGGAGGGAGGAGCATTGTGGCATGGTTAACCTCCAGTGACCAGCAATAATTGCTGAGCCACATTCCACATGTCCATCAGCCGATGTGGAGGAAGTCTGGGAAAGTGACCCCTATCTATCCTGCAGGGTGAGGCAAAGGGGAAGCAGGGCATCTGCTTGGCCTGGTTCTGGAATCTTATTCAACAAGACAGCTTTAAAGCCCCTTATACACTCTCTGATCGACGTTGACGCTGAGTGGCCAACCAGCAGGCAGACAGTATGGAGTGATGGGAATTTTCAAAGCTAGGTATGGGAGTTTTACTCACGTCTGTGTCTGGCCCCTTGTCAGCTCCAGGGCAGGAGAATGAGACGAACTCATGGCACCTTTTGTGGACCACGAAACAGCACACTGGAGAAAAGAAGAGAAGTGAAGTAGTTATAAAGCACATCATGAACAATTATGGATTTTGTACAGGAAAATTCAGCTTTAACAATCTCTGCTGCTGTTACAGAAGAGCACAGAGCTGTCAGCACTATCACAGTGGTGTGTATACACAGGTATACAGAATGTATTCATCTCAGAAGAGACTGATTTAATGTACCCATCTAAAACAGTGTGAAATGTTTGTGATTCAGAGTCTGATTTTGACCCTGAACGGCGAGAGGAAAGACTTCACACTAGTCCGAAGCTGAATAAGCAGCACAGTCCATGTGTTGGGCTGTTTTCATGCTTCCTCCTAGTGCATTTTATTTTCCTGCCATCATGTGCTACTGTAACTGCAGGGATGCCTCAGTATGGGAATCGTGGGCCGATGATGATACCCAATATTTTTCATGTACAACCCGATTTCCAAAAAAGTTGGGATGCTGTGCAAAATGTAAATAAAAACAAAATGCAATGATGTGCAAATAATTTAAACCATATATTTAATTGAAAATAGTACAAAGAACTGAGAAATTTTATTGTTTTTCAAAAAATATATGCCCATTTTGAATTTGATGGCAACAACATGTTCCAAAAAAGTTGGGATGTCTGGTAAAGACAGGTCAGTAAAATGATTAGGTATAAAAAAGCATCCCAGAGACTAGTCTTTCAGAAGTAAAGATGAGGAGGGGTTCACCTCAGACTGCATGATCAAACAGTGCAACAATTCAAGAATAACATTTCTCAATGTAAAATAGCAAAGAACTTTTGTTTTTCGTCTTCTACGGTACATAATATCATTAAAAGATTCAGAGAATCTGGAGAAATCTCTCTATGCAAGGGACAAGGCCAAAAACCAGTATTTGCTGGCCGTGATCTTTGGGCCCTCAGGTGGCACTGCATTAAAACTCTAAATCGCAAAGAAGAAACCATATATAAATAGGATCCAAAATGCTTCCACCTTCTCTGGGCCCAATCTCATTTACAATGGACTGAGGTGAAGTGGAAAAGTGTCCTGTGGTCCAACAGATCAACATTTGAAATACTTTTTGGGAATCATGGACACTGTGTCCTCTGGGCTAAAGAACACTCAGCTTGTTATCAGTGCACAGTTCAAAATTCATTATTCATGATGGTATAGGAGAGCATTAGTGTACACGGCATGGGTGACGTGCACATCTGTGAAGGCACCATTAATGCTGAACGATATATATATACATGTTTTGGCAACATCCAGACCTGTCACCCACTGAAACATCTGGCACATTCTGAAATGAAAAATACGACAAAGGAGATCCCAAACTGTTGAGCAACTGAAATTCTATATGAAACAAGAGTGGGAAAATGTTTCACTTTCAAATCTACAGCAGTTGATCTCCTCAGTTCCAAACAGTTCCAAAAGGTGACGAAACACATGCCCCTGTCCCAACTTTTTGGGAACGTGCTGTTGGCATCAAATTCAAAATGGGTATATATTTTTCAAAAAACAATAAAATGTTTCAGTTTCAACATTTGATATGTTGTCTTTGTAGTATTTTCCTTTAAAAATACAGTTTACATGATTTGCACATCACTGCATCCTAATTTTATTTACATTCTATGAAGCGTCCCAATGATTTTGGAAATGCCACATAACCTCTGTCTGTAGAGGATTATAAATATAGTAAAATTAATAAAAAGGCCTAAACATTTTGCTCTTCCAGACGACAGTAAAACAGCATCAAATGTTGGTCAAATCTAAACATCTGTCCGATGTCGATATTTTAAGCAAATATCTGAAAATACGGATATGATTCTGATATCATTGTGCATCCATAATCATAATGCAAGCATGGCACCAGGGTAGGAGTAAAATGAACACGTTAAAGCATGCTTTTTTAAAAAAGGGCAAAGCTGGTAATATCAGCTGACAAGCATCAGTCTAACAAATTAATTTTGAGATCAATTATGTGATTAAAACCTCTCAGTTAATTTGGTAAGTATTAAGCATTCACTCTTCATAGATAAACAAATGGACTATAAACCATAAACTCCAGCACATGACTTTATAAAAAAAACTTTATAAAGTCTAACTGGCTTGTTTAGCTGACCAAGAATGAGCTGAAGTTAGCCTCTTATTCTGCTTCTTTTCAAATTTTCTGTTCTGCCTTAAATGGTGCAGCAGTTACATTCTGGCGCCTGAGGAAAATTCAGAAAAGAAGCAGATGAATAAGAAGCTTCAGCTTTGGCTACCTTGGATGGTTGATTAGCCAAGTTGTTTGAAATGGCGAGCGCACTGAAACCTCATCTATACTAACTTATTTGTGAAGACTCCCCCAAATGTCTCATTTATCAGAGTGATTTATCAGCTACCTCTACACACAGAATTCAAACAGCCATCAAGAACCAATTCTGAACGCCTGAAACCAATAACTCCACAGGGATGCTTACAGCTTCCGATTTGCACCTTTACTCAGTTGTAGAGTCTTGGATTGATAAACGAGGTATTATTTCAGCATTTAAATTATGTTAGCATTTCTCTTCTAATTCTGTATCAAGAAAGCATTGTATCATGATGCTAATACAGCAACAGGTATCAAATTTGTATACTTTGCATATTGTTACACCCTAATAAATGCAGCAACAGACTCTGTGATTTCTCTTCTTTTCACATATTTCTCTCTATGATGTGACTTTAATTGTTAAACCTTTCACCACACACACAAACACAAGAACAGACACAAGCATACACACATGCTACAGTAGAAGCAAAAGAGAAAGTTAAATTAGATTCATTGTTCTGCTCTGCAGCGGTGTAGCTAATGACGACAGCTCCAGTGAGAGTGCTGGCATCTCATACTGTATCTGGTGTAGCTGCCAGCTGCTCTCTTTCTCACACACACACACACATATGGGCATACACATATAGACACACACAAACAAACAGCAGGTATGCAAATTCCTATTCTAGAATAACAAGCCTTCATCAACAGCTGTATACACTGAAAACAGCACATTTAGCCAGTAATTGGCCTCTTCACTACCTGAAACTGACCAGTTGATTGCCCGATTATCTTGATAATTCCACTGTCATCTTCAAATAGATGAACTCCTCACACTCCCATCCTCATACACTTTCATGCTGATCGCTGAATTGCAAGATATGGACAAAATACCAGCACTGTGATTGTATTGCTATGTATTGCGACTGCAACACACCTTGCAATATATCAATAATACCTTGATCAATCAGTAATGTGCAGAGATGGTATGATACCACTCTTTCTTTTCTGATTCTGATATTGAAACCTTGTGTATTGGTCTATACTGATGTGATATGTTTTTCTTCAAAAGCTACTAAGCTTTGAAATTAGCTATTTCTAATAGAAACACTTCACATGAACTGCTCAGCACATGGCCATGAGGGACAGGGATGCAGTCTCACTTCATGCTCTGAAGTGCAGGGGTCTAGCTAAAATAAGTCTCCACCTGTGAACTGAGAGCCTTTTTGTTTCAGTAAAACGGAGGACAGCATTTTTACATATTTTACCTTTTTACCTAAATTTAAACTTATTTATCAAGATCTTGCAGATTCACTTTAAAGAAATCAGATCTTTTAAAAACAACATAAAATTACATGTAACAACATGTAAGTAGTAATTTCGCAAGGAGTTTGTCCACCTCCCAATAGAAAGTACCCTATAAATGATGATTATGTATATTATTTAGCTTATATATATATATATATATATATACATATATATATATACACACACACACACATGTGCACACACACACACACACACATATGCACACACACATATTTAATAAAAAACAATTTAGGCTTTAGGTGGTGAACCTATTTTAAAAGGTAACCAAAGCACTGCGCCTCAGGTGGTACGACAGGAAACAGACGTGCATCAGGTGGTCTGGTGTCCATGCTGGGCTAATGCTGACTCTTTCATGTCTGCTGTCTCAAAATAAAGCTGACTACTTCAGACTACACTAAACTAGACAGCGGAGAGTGAGCAAGTAACTGCTGTGTTTTAATTTTCTCCTGAAATGTGACTAAATCATCCATCACTCAGGCATTCAGCTAAAGGGGACACCATTAACATGTTTTTCACTGTGTGTATGTGGCATTATCTGAGTTTATTTGTGGCATACAGGTACTGACGAAACTCATATTGTAAGAAGCTTTTCAAGCTCACTACCATACATAATTAAACTTCTTTAGAAACAAGACAACATATTGACAAATTAAAATAAATCTCGAAACTGAAAGTTTCATAGAAGCTGAATATATGCATATCATAACACCCCTGTCAGTCAGAGGGCTGTAAGCATGGGGGAAAGGCTGTTAGAAAAGGGTGTAGCATGTCACAAGGCACTGGCAGCAGTGAGCTTCGTGTGGAGATGGCAGACACCCTGCAAATGGCTCTGCTTTGGACGGGCATCGCCAGCACCGGGAGTATTACCAACACAAATACCTCGCTTCAATGGAGGAGCTCCGGGAATCGCTCCAAGCTATCCAGACCCTGTCAACAGACTCGTCACTGCTACACACAACACACACACACACACAGCTCAGTCTACAGTCTACAGCCTCAGCTAGAATACGATCTAATATATGTCTGTATTAAATGATGCTTTAGTTACACGGCAGTCACTGGCAGCATGCAGGAGAGAAGTTACACATAAATGGAAGGAGATTGTTTTGGCAGATGGCTGATAGAGTATGACCAATGCTTTAACTGGCAAAAAAATGATAAGCCCTGTAACAGCAAACATTATTAGTCAAATGATACGAAAACCTGTCAAGGCCTATGTGAAATTTAACAATGACAAAATGCGTTTCGATACAGCGAAGCAGAGGAACCACCAATAACACTCATTCTTAAGTTATTCTGAATATTCTGCTATTGTATATCCACAGGAATACATTACACTGTAATTGGACCTTTGGGAGCAATCCGTGTCGGCTCATGTTAACATCCATACTTTAC